GTAGATGAGTGGTGTGTGGTTTTCCATCCCACTCTTGACAGTTTCACTACCACTTGGCAAATAGTTGCCACGTGCTTGCAGACAAGTTTGTGTGTTCCTTAAAAACACGGGCACAACTGAGGCTATGCTAGCAGCCATAGGAGGCTCTCAGTGCAGCACCGCATATGTCACAATGGTTAGTTTCACCTATTGACAGCAAGCAACCTCTTGCAACCCCTGACTAACAAGCAAGGGGATACTCATTTTTCCTTGACAACCAGTTGTTGCCAGGTAGTTTCCAACTTATCCCTATGTCTGTGTGACTGGGGGCATAACTAAGTTAAAAAGAAAAGAAAACATAACCTAGACAAATGCACCAGTTGCACCACAACAAAGGCAACAAAAGTTAGTACCGTATTTCCCGGACTACAAAGCGCACCTAAATATTAGCCGCACAAGCTAAAATCAGGGGAAAATCCTGTTTTGTACATACATTAGCCGCACCTGACCAAAAGCCGCAGGTGTTTCAATGTTGACTTATCATATGTAAGAGAATATGCACAAAGCGAATTGTCAGGAAAGAGATGGCTGTTTGGAGACACACCCCTTTTATTAATATTTTGAAAAACAAGTTATGGGTACATATTTGCATAACTTAACAGTTAACCTACAGCACACCAGAAAAATAGATTCAGACTTTTAGGCTCAGGTGCAGTGACACGGCTTTAACAAGAAGAAAAGTCAGTCATTCACCATCTTTCTCTTCTTCCTGCGCACTAAAACCACCAAAGTCCTCTTCTCCAGTGTCGGAAACGAACAGGCTCAGGATGGCTTCGTCATCCACTCTCCGCTTCTCTCTTTCATTGTCACTTTCAAAACCAAAGAAATCCTCGATTGTCAGTGTCAGAGTCGAACACCCTCAGAAGGGCCGTGGCGGTGTCCTCCTCTCCATCATGCAGCAGTCCAGCCCTTCAAAATCCGTTGGTGATCGTGGATGTTTTCACACTTTTCCACGCTGTCAAGAATCCACCGGTGGAGTTGGGCATAACTTGCTTTTTGGGCATAACTTGCAAGTTTATCGCCGCTCATCATCCACGACTCCCGCTGAACGCGTACCGCTACTTTGAAGTTTGTTTTTCGCGCTACTTCGTACGGCACTACGTTGCCTGGCGGACGGACATGTGACTAACATACCACTCTTGAACCCCGATCCTTCCGCCAGGCAACGTAGTGCCGTACAACAGCGGAACACACAAAACAAATCGTCTTACGATATGACAAAAATCACGGACAATCCATAGAAAAGCCGCACCTGACTAAAAGCCGCAGGGTTCAAAGCTTGTGCAAAAAGTAGCGGCTTATAGCCCGACAATTACGGTTGTCAGAGCCAAGGAGCTTACATACATGATGCAGCCACAGCTACATGACAGCTCTCTTAAAAATGTGCTTTCTCTTGCAAATGTTCAAATTCAAAAGGGTCAGTAAATGAAAATGTGCTTGAATGAAGTGAAAAAATTATACTTAAAAAAAGTGTGACGTGTGCTAACCGCCGTGCTTATAGTTGAATGAAACCATAAGCACTCGCAATTAACTATTTATTGCTTTTAATGTTTCATAGCGGCACAGCGAGACAGAAATGCTTCAGCCTGTGGCTTTGCTCGGCCCTTCCAAAACATTTGAGGGTGTAAACCTCATCAAAGCACCATCAAGACCCAGCCTGTGGTGTACCCCGAGGTGATATTCATAAACCCATGAAAAATAAAATACAAGTAAAGAAAATGAGAACTATTTGTGATGTATTGATTTTTTTTTACCTACTGTAAAGCCCACGGAAGGACAAATTAGTTATCCTTCTCATGCATCAGTTACTCAGATACAGGATACATATAGGAATAAAAATATCCTGTGCTTCTGTAACAATGTGCAGTTCAAAACATTTTAAGAATTTAAGAATTGCATCATAATGCTGCTCAAAAATTTGAATCCTTGAATCAGGCTTGTGGTAGCGAAAGAATGTGTTTTCCTCTCAATGCCTCCCAGGAGGTCTTAAGATTTGTGTTACCTGAAAAAGGTGACAAGCTACATGTTTCATGTAGCTCTCAGGGCCCTTTGCCCTCCTTGCAGCATAGGCCAGTGACAAATTCTTGTGGGCTCCAGGTCCGCGAGTGTCTTGTGATGTTTCTTGTTGTCTTTCTGAGGGTATGCCTGTGCCATCCCTACCTCTTCTTCCATGGGCAGTAAATCCCAATGCTGGAAGAATAGAAGCATTCTGAGGGCGACTAAGAACTAACAAAGCATTAACACTGGATGGAAATCTCTACATTTTGCAAAAAACTTGTGCGAAGTCTTGAATAAATGTTCTCTCAGCTTGATACCATTAGTTCAAATTGGTTTGTACTGTGAGAACAGTTGATGTGAGAATAGCTCTATGATATCTTTACAGAAGAAAAGTAAAGCAAACATTTAGAGGCCGCACATGCAGCACATAATGCATCTGTCTGCTGTTTCAGTAGCATTTGTCATATCATCTCCTGCCAAAACTAGTTTCTTCAAAAATGACAATGTTAATCTGTTATTAAATTAGCAACATCATGGTGTTAACTGAAATGTTCTGAAAACTCAGTGTACCTTCAGATTTAAGATTGCTGTTTCTGTAACAGTGTCTTGAAATTGCCTTGGGAAAACCTGAATAACTGAACAAGTGTATTATATATTATATAATATATATATATATTTATATATATATATATATATAATATATATAAATATATATAATATAATATATAATAAAATAATATTTTAAGGTGTCTTAACTTGACTCTTCATGCAGCTGCTCGTCTCCTTACTGTAGTGGCGGCGTGTCTCTATTACCCCTGTCCTTGCTGATCTGCATTGGCTTCCCATTAAGTATCGCATTCAATTCAAAATCCTGCTGCTCACCTTCTGAATTATTAACAATATAGCGCCAAGCTACCTCATTGAGCTACTTAGATTATACACCCCTACTAGAGCACTAAGATCATCTTCCCAGTCACTCTTGGTACTGCCGAGATCCCCGGCTGAAGACTAGAGGTGACCGCACGTTTGCCTTGGCTGCACCCGATCTATGGAATAACCTCCCCATCGCTATACGCAAGTCCGATTCCATTCAATCCTTCAAATCGCGGTTAAAAACCCACTTATTTAGCCTCGCCTTTTCTACCAGTTAAAGCTTGCTTGTTAGTTAGCTTAATGCTTATTCTTATCTTTGGTTTATTCTTAATTATTTTTAATCATTTTTACATTTTTGACTGTTTTATCCCTTACACTTATTGCTCTTTTATGCTTTTATATGCATTTCTTTTGCTTTTGTTTTTTAATGCCATCTAACCTGCTAGCATGTTTTGGTACCTTGCCGTAGCCCTCATCCTTCCCTCTTACTTTATCTTACCCTCTTACATGTTGTGGCTCAGGGGGTTGGGAAGCGTATCTGTAACCGGAAGGTCACCGGTTCGATCCCCGGGCTCTCTGTCCTGGTCGTTGTGTCCTTGGGCAAGACACTTTACCCTACTGGTGTTGGCCAGAGGGGCCGATGGCGCGATATGGCAGCCTCGCTTCTGTCAGTCTGCCCCAGGGCAGCTGTGGCTACAACCGTAGCTTGCCTCCACCAGTGTGTGAATGTGAGAGTGAATGAATAGTGGCATTATAAAGCGCTTTGGGTGCCTTGAAAAGCGCTATATAAATCCAATCCATCATTATTATTAAGCACTTTGGTACCATTGGTACCATTGGTTTTAAATGTGCTATATAAATAAAGTTTGTTGCTGTTGTTATAAAACCAACTTAAACCTTGTTATATTTGCATCAACTTATCTCAGAGAAGCTTTGTTGTTGAGGTTTCACAAGCCTGTTTTATCTGACTTTAACTTGGAGGACTTGTTGGAGGGAGAGTACTGCAATTACTAGTACGGAAGCCCACATTACAAATTTGATATTAAGAGACTTGGAAAGACAACAAACACGGTGAGAAATAACGTTGGTTTCCATGGATAAAAGACTTTGATGTCTGTAATCCCGATCCACAAAGTCACATAACCTCACAAGTTTGTCTCAATGTGATGTTGTCAAATTTGCCGAATTCTTCAGATTGCGTGTTGTGGGACCAGACACTTGTCAGGGGTGGGCTATCTTTTATTCCGTCAGCCGGTGTGTTTGTGTGATGTTGTTCTCGCTCACATTTACAAGTCTATCTGATTCCTTTAGCTTTAGCTGAGCTGATAACAGCTCTGTTGTGTGCCAAATGGTGATATCTTACCTTTTCCCTTCACTCACTTTCTATCTCCCCTACCTCACTTGTTCTTGTCGGTGGCCACTGTGTGCGTGCTAGGACAAAGGTGCTATTTGAATTTAAGTGCATGTGCGTCTGCTTTTTCTATAGAAATATCAGTTTTTTGGGTCCTCCATGCTTTTATCACATAGGTGTGCCCGATGGATGAGAAGAGGAACATATTATGTAAACTGCAAAGCCAGCAAAAGGACTGATAATGTACTGCTTTAATGGGCTGACAGCTAAACATAAACCAGCACACATGAACGAGCCTGTTATCTTGATTAATATGTCTCAGCAGAAGGAATGAATGGACAACTCAGAGAGCCAGAGCAGCTTCTCTTAACCGTCTCTTTTCTTTTTCTTTATCTCCTTAAACCCTTCTGTTTTTTTAAATCTTAGGCTCTTTTAATTTAGTTTTTTTTAACAGTAGGTTTTCTGGCCATATTCTACCTGTCTTTTAATAATATCTGTGCAGAGCGCTCAAATGCACACTCTGCTTTTATCTCTCTCCTTCATTCTCTCACTTCTTTTAATTTAAACGCTGCCTTATCGCAGCAAAATGTTGTAAATATTGGCTCAGCGCAGGTGGGGAACAGCAATTTGAATACACTTCAAAAGACAAAATTAAATGTTTAACTGACAAATGAAGCGTATCAGAGCTAATGAAATGACAGTGCTCCTCTAATATGTGCCGTTGCGTGTCTCTCCCCAGGTATGTGGTCCTTCTCCGTTTCCGAGCTGGCCATCCCGGGCGCTGAGATAGGACGCATCTCCGCAATGGACGCTGACCTGGGTGAGAACGCCAAGCTGGAATATACCATCCTGGAGGGGGAGAGCGGGGACACGTTCAATATCACCGGACTAAACCAAGAGGCGGTCATCACGCTCAACAAGGTGAATGAAGGATGACAGAGAATGAGGGGTGGACAGATGGAGGGAGATATTGATGAAAGAGTGGGCAGGAGAGGAGGGAAGGGTTTCGTAAAGGTTACCACAGATAGTGGCTGAGGAGGAGAAAACCAGAGCTAGAAGAATGAGCAGTAAAAGAGCGCGCATATGGAGTCATTTTGTAAAGGTAAAAGGCAGCAAAGGAGACAGGAAACAGATGATGAGGGGGAGGACAGACGATGACACGGGTAGTGTAGGCCGGTCTGTAGAGAACAGTTTTGTTTTGCCTATGAGTCGAAGCACAGCTAACAACATGCTGCCTAAGCCTATTAACCTGGAATTACCTGGAACTAACAATAATGCTATATAAACTCACACAATTCATCACTGAACAGCCCTTTCAGCGAGGACTTTAATACAGCTGAGCTGCATTCTTCTTACCTGTTTTCCTTATTTGTCTCCCGTCGAGGAAGAGTGTATTGTTGGGTTTTTTGACAAATGAATCTCCAGCTTGATTCCACTCACTGCGAATCAGCCTCTTTTTATCAGCACGTCCATCTGTTTAAAGCAAACATAATGAAATATCTCCGCAAAACTCAATCCAAAGCGTGACACATCCAAATGCAAATGCTTGTAGTGGCAGAGTTGAGTGTCATTTTTTCGAGGCGGTTTGTCTCCGGCCTTTTAGCACATCCTTGCATGAATTGCAGAGCATTTGCATGTACAAGAGAATCAATAAGGCTCTGGCTTTCTATTTTGAGTTCAGTTGGAAAAATGCTATCATGCACAAATGATAGAACAGATCATTAGCCATGCAAATGCAGTCTGTATGGATGTCATTTAAATATCTTGCCCTGTGACAGCTGGGATGTGCTCCAGCCCACCACCGACCCTAAAACTGGATAATCGGAAGAGAATGGATGGATGTATATTGTGATATACTATAAAAAATCATGGTTTGTGTTAAAATAGCTGTATTAACTGCATATCACAGCACAAGCCTCTCCTTCATTTTCTTGGTTATCAGGGTGATGAGTCGTGTAACCAGCGTGAATCCTACCACATCTGATTTTTGATTGGTTACATGAAATTAAGCCACAGCGATGCCACAGATACATTTGAAAAAAGAGATATTTCATTTTATTAACAAAAAGGAACCCAGTTGTCTACATAGACACCATTCATCAACTTAAGTTGATGCTGGTGTTCATTTTTGTAAATGATGGTCTTATTTACAGAATAAATTAGATAATAAAGCAGGGTTTGCCTTAGCGGATGGTTAGCTTGTGATTGTCTAGACATCACTGTATGAACATGCTGTCTTTGGTTTATCAGTCAGAACCATCTCTCACTCAGGGATTCATGGTTCATGTCTGCTTTAATAAAAATGGGATTGCAACAGCCAAAAATGCTCAAGTTGAGGCTTTAAAATGAGAGGTTGCAGTTGTTACATCTATTCTTTATATACAGTCTCTTTTTTAACCCCAGCAAGAATCCTTCCCAGATGTTTTTTTTTAATGCAGGCTGCAGATGGATAGATCCCTTTAGTGTAAAGCTAGAATTTTTGGTTTCTGTCATTCCCCAAGCTGCCTGCCATGCTGACTGATCACCTTTTTGCACAGGTGTATGGGCATTGTGGAAGTGATGACTGCCAGTGTGCCTTGTATCCGTATGAGGAGAGGAATCACTCATGCTCATGTGTAGTGTGCATATGAGCAGGGCTGTGGGAGGCTAATATGAGCTATGGTGCTTTGATTTTAAATGAGCTCTTCAGAAGTGTCGAAATACATATGAGTCGCCTTTATTGTTGTTAGCCGTTTCTCTGACGTGTGATATCAGTCACTCAGTCAGAGAGCGTGTGCTTCAGCACGTGTTGTGCCACCTGTGTTATACTGCCAGGTGTCATACCCATGAAGCTGCAACAAAAGAGAAAGCATAATTTTGCGTGTGCTCGTGATCACATGTAATATGATCAATCACCTGTGTTACCAGCGTAACACATTCTTCCTCTGCGATTGCGCACGATGAGTATTAAACTCGTATCAATGAGCGGCACACCGCACAAGGCCATGTGTCCACTCACAAAAACAAGCACATATTGTAGACTTTCTTTCACACAAGCCCACATACAAAGTCCTGATACAAAAATGACAAATATCACAGCTAGCACACCAGATCTGCTGCTGGGAATTCAGCGAAAACTTCAGGACATTAATTAGTCTGTTTACAATAATGAGTGTACTAATGCGAAAATTCTTTTTGTTTTTCATTTACTTTTATACATTTTTTTTATTAGGAGCTAACCCTGGACCTACAAAATACACACACTCCATAGAAAGCATTGAGATTTGGACTAACATATTAGTCCAATTGAATTTACTGGCAATACACTGAGAAAAATATGGAATATTTCCAGCCACCTTGCTAAGTACACCTGTACAACTGCTCATTAATTTAGAAATCTAATAAGCCAGTGTTTCCCAACCCTTTGGAGCCACGTCACATATTTCACATTAGAAAAATCGCACAGCACACCACCAAACAAAAATGTCACAAACGGCATATTGATTATTTTTCCCAGCGGACCAGATACAGCAGAATTGGCTCGGTTTGTCCCCAGTATACCTTTCCTGCTTTCTTCTGAGCACTACTCATGCTAGGGCCTTCATCTGCGTCCGAAGTTTCTACAGGACTCAGGTCAGATTGACTACTTTTTCAGACTATTATGCAATTTCTTTTTCATCTTCTTCTGTTTTACTAGCAGTTGGCAACCCATTTAATTAGAGCAGGTAGTTGTACTGCCCTCTAGTGGAAGACAATGTAATTGTTCTGCCCGTTACTCAGGCTGGTCGCTTAGAGTACTGATCAGGTGGAACCAGACAATCTTCTACATCACATCTGATCATTTCTCACGGCACTCTAATAAGCCAATCATGTGGCAGCAACTTGCCATATGCATTTTAAAAATATACTTTTTATTGTCCTGTGTTTATGGATTTCCAAGCATGTATTGGCAACTGGGACGGTTGCAGTGCCCTCTGGCACTATTCAACATCAACACTACCACATGGTTGAAGGGTGTTTCTCCCATCTGTCTTAAAATTTTTATTTACTGTCCATTAAAAAGGCTGACACAGATTTATCAACAAACAGCTCACTTCTGCTGATATATCAGCGTGTCTGAGTAACTGCTGATCCAGTGAGCGAGAGGCCAGAGGCGAACGGCCAGACTGCTTCAAGCTGATAGGAAGGCATCAGTAACTCAAATAACCAGGATACGCAGAAGATGATCTCAGTAGTTTACTATTTAGTAAAGAAATTAAATTACTACTAATAATAATAATACAAACAGCAATGCTCTTTTTAATTGTACATAATGCAAAACAAATGCCATATACAGGCAGCTATAGTACACGATATGGCTCATTGTATGCTCAGACTGTCTGTGTGTCTCTCTTTCAGAATGACTGACAGAGCACTTCTACACTAAATAGGGCTCAATTGGTTCCATCTATTAAAACTGCATAGGCAGAAATGGGTGCTTTTGACTGCGATCCCCCAGGACCCCAGTACATTTGAATGTTTAAAAAAGCACTAGTCACAGCAGATAGCAGGAAACAATGAGTCACAAACTGATTGGCCAAATAGTGACAAACTGGAGCAATAGATCAAAGCATTTCTAAGATGTGACAGACATTTTGCCTCTGGGGTCTGTGAGAACCCCCGTCACCAGGATGAAGTTTTTGTTTGGTTGTAGCATGTTTGACTTTATGGTAGCGCTAAAGCTATTTCTTCAAAATTTGTCACACTCCTCAGCCAACCCGGTGAGTTCTATGCCAGAGTGCTGGAGAGGAGAATCCATCTTTTAGCTGGACAATGTGGTTTTCTTTCTGGTCGTGAATTGCTGGACCAACTTTTAATCCTCTCGAGGATATTGGAGGATGCGTGAGAGTGGGCTCATAATACTTGGCCAGTTATTCCACTGTATCCCTTTGGGAGGTTCCCTTATGGGAGCTTGGTTTGTATTTGCTGGGAGTAAATTAGAATTTTTATATTTTAGATAACTGGATGTAAAAGTCTGCACACTTTGTGCCATTAAATTCCATGAAAAATCTTTGCAAATGCACACGAAGCTTCTGAAACCTTTTCACATCGTTTTTGGGAAATGCAAACTGCAATCTGGCTAAATCTGCAGAAAAAACAACAACAAAACAGAAAAAAAAGCTATTTGTATTCAAAAATTGATGTTGTTTTTATTTTTGCTGGTGAGTGCCTGACTGCACAAATGCTTTGGTTGGTGTACTGGAAGCCATGCAGGTGTGCATACCGGTGTATGCATGCGCATGTAAACACTTGAAATTTCTGTGAATTTATCATTGTGTCAGTTCTCAGCCTTGGGTTTGCAGAATTCGTTAAAAACAATCCGCACCCAGAGGTGGCGTGTAGAGCAGGATTTCCAAGTTCCTTTGAAGAGACGCGCCGAGGTAGAGCAAGGACTGGATACGGTGAGAGGTGCAAGAGAAAGAAATCTAAGCCAAGGACCTGGGAACAAGGCGAAAGAGTGCGGGTGAAGAAGGAAAGAAACGATGGGAGAGCTGAAGGAGGAATGTTAAATTGAGGTCCTGCGAGGCGGTGACAGCAGAGAGTGCGGTATAACAAGGAGGTTAGAGTAAGAAGCGACCGAGAGAGATGCGCAAAGAGACAGGAAGAGAGACACAGTGACAGCCATGGAGAAATTAGCTCAGCTATAGGCTGCGAAGCACAGGAGGTTAGAAATACCCATCCGGAGAGACAAGCAGACAAAAAAAGCTGAAAAAAATAAATAATAAAAAAGAGAGGTACAGTTATTAGGAGAGGGGGAGACAGCATGGCGACAATAAGACAGACTGAAGAAGAGTTGGGGAGAATAGGTGAGCATCAGCATGTGGTGAATGGTGAAAATCACATGTAAACAATTACACTAAAGACCTCCCACCTCCAGCATTAGCTGCGCTGGATTCAGCCAC